CGCTTGTGTTGGGCGGTATGACAACAGCATCGCCGTGCTTCCGTCGGTGTCCAGATGTCACGACTAACGTCAGACCTGGTCCGCGGGAGAACCGTGCGTGTGCTGTGGCTTGGGCGTTTGAGTCGGGTTTTAGGTTGTGGTTTGGGCAGGCTGTCTCAAGGCGTCTGGTCTAAAGTACCGAAGTTCTGTCGAAAATGCTATTTAGACATTCTGTATCTAATGCTTAGAGTTGCTGAGGCAAACAGCTGGACTTGGCAATACTTTGGGGATGGATGATTGGGATAAAATAGGGAGGAGAGCCCATTCAGGCTGTCATATGTCATGCAGATAGGGCTGTCATAAACAGAAGTACGCTATTCATATCTGCAAAAGGAGGATTTGGGTTTTGGATACCCCAATACAGTAGTCTTGCTGTACACAATCTCCTGGTAAATGATAGCTAAGTAGATGGACTGACTGAATTCTCAGGTGCTCTCCTGGGAATTTGTTTATACTTCAAATTTAATTGTATGGCTACTAATAAATCAGCCTGCTAATTCTGCCTGTTATTCTAGGCAAGAAGGAATTGGGTGGAGTATTGGTCTCCATGTGTTCCTTATGCCAAGTTCTGAATCGCTTACACATACAGGAAGCACGTAGTTACTTGAGGACAGACACTTGAAAAGTATGATGCTGGACACGGCTGTTCGTGCTGCGCCTAGAATACAGTGCAGCAATGGGAGCAAGTGGTAATTTGAGCTTTTCTCAGAAGAAGTAAGCTGCTTCATTGTGTTATGAAAACAAAAGCTGTAATGTTAGGCTTTATTCTGAGAGAACTAAATTAGGCCTGGAAACTTCCTTGTAATGGAATGCCTTGTAAGAGATCGGTTTAATTGATGGAACAAAATTCCAAAGTTTAAGTTTTTTCAAATTATGTTCTAAAATTTTGGGTTGTCAGAGCTGTGTAAAGAAATAGAAAAGCATAGCTGTTGAAAAACACTGAATCAAAGAATTACTTGATATGTTAATGTAAACTGTGATAATGTCTTTCACAGAAACAAAGCTTACTCAAAATACTTCATCTTCCCAGGTTTTTCAGTTCTTGAATGCAAAATGTGAGTCTGCATTCCTTTCCAAGAGAAACCCCCGTCAAATCAACTGGACTGTTCTGTATAGGCGTAAACACAAGAAAGGACAGTCAGTAAGTATACACCAACTAATGCTGCTCTGAAGTTTTCCATCAAAAGATGAGGTCAGTGGTCTGTTAGAGTAGAGGTAACTCGAATATGCTGGTGTTTAGCGGAAGCATGACCCATATAACCAGGATGAAGACTGGCCAGTAGTGATGAAAATGTGAGTGCATTTACATGAGTTTGTATGTTGCTTTGTGTTTAAAAGGTAACCAGTTCAGCAAAAGCATTGTATTTGTGTTACATCGCTTCCTTGAGGGCTCCCTCAGAAACACAGTTGATTTTAACACTTGTATGAATGGCCTCTGTTGTAAAAAAATCGGTTTTACAGAAGCAGGGTAATGCTGGTTAATCGGTAGACTTTCTAAAAGTTTGGACTTGTGAACTTCCTGAATGGCGATAGCTTAGAGAGCTGAAAATCTGGCGGATCCTATTTCCAAACAGATGATTTGGGGGTTAAAGGGTGGGGGAACTTTTCACGTACCCTTCTTGAAAACTTTGGGCTGTAACGTAGTAGGAGGTCTTTCCTATGTAGTTGTCATTGCATGAAAAAGATAAACTAATAAGGCAAGTAGCATGAGGGCTTTTCAGTGCTCTTCCTTAAACTTGCACAGCAAAAGAGTATTTAGAAAGGCTTACATACGTGTCACAAGTCAACATTTTTAGCAGTTTGTTTGGAGAAGGAAAGTTGATGCTCAATGGCTTATGCTGCTGTCCAGCACCATGATCCCACTTGAAAGAGGTGGGAAGTGTCTTGCTTTCAGAAGATTCCATCAAAGTGGACTTTATCCTTCCCCCCTTTTTTTTCTGGGAGTTACAGAAGCCTGAATTTCTGACATTCTCCAAAATTATTTTAATACCTTGCAAAGGATAATACATTCTTCTTTTTTTAGTCTGCTTTGGCAAATCAAGAAATCGGTTACCTCCAAAGTGAGGAGTAAAACTCTACTTCTGTATACAGTTTTATAATAGCTTCAATCTTAATAGCAGCTTGTTTCTATAATTGTCTTTAGCCTTTTATTTAATGTCTTGTGATACTAATTGTCTGCCTTCATCTTCTGCCATTTTAGGAAGAGATACAGAAGAAGCGCACGCGTCGTGCTGTTAAGTTTCAGAGGGCTATCACTGGTGCATCGTTAGCTGAGATTATGGCTAAACGAAATCAGAAGCCCGAAGTACGAAAGGCACAGAGGGAACAAGCTATTAGGTGAGAAATCAGAGATAAGTGGAGCTGTCCCAGGCTTTTCAAAGATGATTAATGCTTTTCATACAAGAGCTTAAACTCTAGATGAGCTCCATGTTCTATAAGCTTTTTTGTGGGTTTGGTGTTTGGGTTTTTTTAATCAGTATATTTGGAGGTAATACTGAGTAATCTCAGCAACAGATAGTAGCAGCAGAGAAAGGTCTCTTCTTGCCCTCTCCCTTTGTGAAAATACCACTTCTGTCACACACAGTTCTGCTGTCTCTGCAGTCGTCTCCCTAGAGGGTACTGAATGCAGAGGATAAACCTGAAATAATGCATTCCTTTCGTGATCTTAGGGAGTTCTTACAGTGCTGAGACAAAGAAAGAGTGAATGGCAGACACCGGTAACTGTTCCCTTTTTCCTCTGAATTAACAGGGCTGCAAAAGAAGCCAAGAAGGCTAAGCAGGCAACCAAGAAAACGGCTGTTTCTGCTGCAAAGGTAAGATGCAATGGGTGGATAGAAATAATGAAATGGCATACACCGTGTTGTAACACGACATTCTGTTGCAGTGCTTAACTGGAAATTCCCATTTGTGTTTGGAAGAAGCATTTGCTTATTTATTTTGATCTGGAAGCACCTTGACCAAACTTTTGTACTAAAGTTAAACATACCCCAACAGCTGAATAGAATGAACCTTTTTTACAGAAGAAATAAATATTACAGTAAAACAACTTTCTCACCATACGTCAGGGATTCTCGATAGCTAAAAACTTGTCTGGACACAACATCTTCACTGTCTAGGAACTTGGTAACAATATATTGATGAATGCTAGCGTCTATTTCATTATTACTTATGAATTAATACCATATGTTGGCATCATGCACGTTGTAAGCTTACAGCGGTATGTGTGTAACAATCTGCTAACATGATTCTAATCTGATAGATGGTAATTTAATCTTACCTAAGTTGCCCAATTTCTGTCAAGAATCTTAAACACACAGGGACACTTTCAGGACTGCAGATGAATTGCTTCTCTTTACTCATACTTTATTATTTCTCTACAGGCTCCTACAAAGGCAGCACCTAAGCAGAAGATTGTGAAACCAGTCAAGGTTTCTGCTCCCCGTGTTGGTGGAAAGCGCTAACTTGCCGAACTGTTAGTCATGCTGAATAAATATCTCACTAACTTTCATAGCTTGTGCCATGTTCTCTTCAACTGCGTGAGATATACTGAAGAGAATTAATCTATGAAATAACCATGCCTGGTTTTGCAGACCGAAAAACATCTTGTCACAAAACATTTGGTTTGTTAGACAGTCTCCTGTATAGCACACATCTCGTAAGTCTTTAATGAATGACCCAGGTGGCAGGGAAGATGGAGCTGATGTTTGAGAAGCTGTTTTTGCCTGAAGGACAAAACAGTACAGGAGTACAAGTTTATTCCACATCTATGTCAAATGGCATAAAAAGGTTTCTAAGTTCAGAGGTGCGAACTAAAGCAGTGAACTGTGAAGCAGTACCGTAAGTGACTTAAAAAGGCTAATGCACTTCTTGCGTTCTGGAACGCACGTAGCAAGGTGTTGTAGAGGATAAAAGGAGAAATTGGTTGGAAAAAGTGAATGGATGGTTTCACAGACCACATGGCTGTTACACGCAAAGGTTCAGATGCAACTCCTGGGTCGGGAAGTAAAAAAACCATGGATTGCTGGAAGCTGTTGTCAGGAAAAGAATGGCTGTGAAGGTCCTGCCTTGCGCTCACTCGCTAAGCCAAATGGGTTTCTTGACCCAGTATGGCTGTTCTTCTGCAATTATGATCTAATTAGCAGCACTTGCAACACTGGTAACAGGTTGACTGAGCTTCAAATGCAGCTGATGGTATACATTTACTTCAAGCCCATTTAGGTTCATACTTAACTTCCAGATGCATATAGAGGTTCCCTGAGTAATTCCCCACCCTCCAACCTCTAGAGGGAGTGGCCATTTGATAAATTCTTCATGTGAAGTATATATATCTACCTACTTCAGTAATTACAGTATATAGACAGCGCACCCAAACTTTGCTGAAGTTTTGATGGACAGTAATAGCCTTGGCAAAGCAATGTCCTCTGACTTACTAGAAGCATAGGAGAAAAAGAACCTTCTCTATTTTCTGGATCAGATACTTCTCAATTTATTGATGCCACATCTTAATGCCCGTTAACTTTGTTATCTTACTATCCTAGTCAAGAAAGCAGCTGTCTTTTCATAGATCTGCTTCCTGCAGTTCTTCTGGGCTTTAAAGAACACAATGGTTGTAATGGGCACTTTGGGTTATGGGTTGTATTTTGAGTTATATCATAATTTGTTTTGGGTTTCTTAATAAAATAGATACAGGTCTGGATGAAGGTTGCAACCCATTTAAAACAGGTCTAGCTTCATTACATTAGTGGAATTTCCACCATTATCTTCCAAACAATTACGCTTTTTGCTGTAAAAAAAAAAGCATAGGAGCTATTCATGTTTAGAATTAAATTGAAGACTTTTAAACTGGTTAACGCACTTGAAAGTGAAGTAGCCAGAAACTTTAGAGGAAACAAGGAGAAGGAAAACTGCTTGTTATAGAGAAAGGAATTTTTAATCATTTAAAACTAAAGGCTGAAAACACTGAAACTTACCTATGCTAGTGACAACTATGTAAAATCCTTATTATATCCCTGTCTTGTATAACGTACCTGGTACACTGCACGTGTGTTTGTGAAAGTTTTCAGCTAAAGAGCTGAAAGTGAAGATGAGCTTTTACAATCTGCTTGAAATACCATTAATGATATATAGGAATTGATTATCAGATATGACTAATTAGTAAGTCAATATTAATGCTTTGAAGCTTGCAGGCTTTGGCTGCCTGCTGTTACTGTAGAGGTGCACAGAAATGCTTTAAGATTACTCATCCTTGCTGTTTATTCATGAGTTCTGACTGATACGGTGAGATGGAGTAAAGAATAACAGCCCATTGGGTGACTCCTCTCGCAAGCTATGCTTCAAGTGAGCGAGGCAGGCTGTTCAGAGCAGGGTGTTAACCTGGTATAACTGCACATTATTCAGCTCAAACATCATGCAATGAATTAAATAATAAAGTCCTTGGGTTTACCTAATGCAATGCAATTGATCCCCTATTAAGTATTTATCACTAAAAACGGAATACTTAAATTTTTCATCGACCCACAGAATAATTTAGGTTGAAAAGGGCCTCCAGAGATCACCTAGTCCAACCCCTTCCTCAGAGCGTGTCTGTTTAAATCGGGTTGCTCAGGGCTGTATCCAGCTGAGTCTTCAACAACTTTGAAGACAGATGTTCCGCAACCTGTTCCAGTATTTGACCACCACCATAGTTTATAAAAAAAGATAAGAAAATCCTTATCTGTAACTAGAATTTCCTGTGTTCTAACCTGTGCCTGTTGCCTCTTGCTATGCAACTCTGAGAAGTGTTTGCCTCCATCTTTGTATCCTCCAGTGAGGTAGCTGTGGGCAGCAGCAAGGTCCTCACAAAGCCTTCCCTTTTCAAGGCTGAAAAAGCCCGTCTCTCAGCCTCGCCTTGTCCCTCACGCTCTGCTCCCTGACCACCTTCGCGGCCTTCTGCCAGACTCGCCCCATCCGCTCAGTATCTTTGTATTCGGGGGCGACCACAGTACTCCAGACGCCATCTTGCAAGTACTAAGCGCGGGGGAAGGGTCGCTGCTGGCTCGGCTCCTGCCCGGCCGCGGGCGTCCTGCGGCTCCTGCGTTTCACGCCTCTGTTAGGAGCGTGGAACAGTATCAGCTCGGAACTCGGACAAGGAAAACCAGCGGCTGAAGTTCAAAAGACTTTCCTCCTTTCCTTTCACAGACAAAAAAGAGCACGCTCAACACACCCAGACGCAGCCGCTGTGCCGCCCTGCCCCTGCCGGCGCAGCTGCCACCCGTCGTGCTGCTCCCACTGCACCGTGAAATCACACTTCCACTTTTCTCGTAGCTCCTACCCCCGAGGCGATTTTGAAGCGGAGGCTCCCCGTTTCGGAGGTAGGGCTATCAAGGTATTTATTCAGGAGCGCCCCCTCCTCCCAGCGCCGCGGCCGCGCCCGCCCTCGCAGGCTTTGCCCGGCTCTGAGATGGCCGTCCCCAGCCTTCCGCCCGGCCTCTCCGTTGCCCGGTTCCAAGATGGCGGCTTCATTCCCCCTACGAGCTGCGCCTTCCCGGAGCACACGCCCCTCCTCCCACCCCCTTCCATGTTGCGCGGGCTTCTGACCTCACTTCCTCTTGTGCAGCAGCCATTTTGTCTTTCCGTTGCTGCTGCTGCCCGAGCTTCTTCCCTCCCCC